ATTTTTTTAAAATTTTTCCCTTTATTTTTCCTAGATTTGGGGTCCCATGTGTCCATCACCTACGGTTTTGTAATAAACCTCTCCTGACCACATTCCAAGGGGATCTCCAGCCCCTTTTGGATGGACATCATGGTCTCCTAGCTCATATCCAAGCTTTTTTCATCCTTTCTCCTTACCCTGGATCCACCTTCTCTCCGGAGCCCTTCTTGTCCTGACGTGATCCACGATTTTTCCCTCCATCCAACACTGGATATTGCCCCACCTACAATAAAAAATTAATCCTTGAGAGGAAAGGCCCCATCCAGGAGCTTATTTGGGCCACAGATGAGAATTTTCCTGGTGGATTTGGCTGTCCTGAACTCTCCTGAAGAGCAGGATCTTTGGGCTTGGGATCATCTGGGTTTTTACCTGGATGCAGGACACTTTTAAGTCCCAAGTTTTTTATATCTTGGCAGCCAACAGGTTGTAATATCACTTGGAAAAATCCAAATCTTCCCTGATCATCTGTAGACAGGGTGAGATGAGTGTGAAGGGGGACCAGAGCATGGAAAAGTCAGTGGAAATCTCAGATTTCTGGGGTTTTTGCACCAGTGGTGATTGCAAATGTTTTGGGAAGTGGCTTCCCTGTGGTTTTGGGTGCATACAGCCACCCTTAGCTGCAGCACCCATTTTGGCAGCCCTGGAGTTGATCTAAAGGGGGGTCCCAGTGGCTCATGTGAAGTAGGAACAGGGATAAAATCCCCCAAAACTGAATAATAACAGCAACAAAAGCCAAAGCAGGAGAACGAGGGGGCTCAGCACTCCCAGGGCTTCACGTGTGGATTCACAGGTGCAGAGTAAGGATTCAACTATAGCCACCTCAGCAAACTGGCAAAAAAAACCCAAAAACACCTTTAAAATTATTCCTCTATATATAAAAGCCTTTAAAAATTAGTATTTTTAATGTCCTGCCCCTGCTGGGGATGCAGCCACCTGTGGCTACGTGCGGGCTGCAGGGGAGCGGGTTGGGAGGGA